TACCATAGCCCGCAGACCAAAAAAAATAGGGATGGCAAGAGGAGGAGATGTCAGGTTTCGAATGATTTCATGAGGAACTGACATCTTCGCCGCCTCTCACCTACCTGCCCATGAAATCCCTTCTAGCATCTGTTGTCGGAGGACGCCGCACAGGCTCCCTGTTGCCATAAACAACTCCCAATGAGGGGAATCTGGAATGACTCGAAGTCGCAGCCATGAATAGTTCAAACGAAGAACACATATTTATAGGACGGAAGGAGGACCGAACGGCCCAGGACTCCCCCATTGCATGGCAAACCATGGAGGACATAGCCAACTCTAGATTCCCATGTGAGGTCAGGAGGATCAAGGCCCTCACAAAGGCAGACTAGTACAAACATCGATAAGACTGCTCGGTTTCGCTTGGGTCATAAACCCCGATGCACGACGCACTAGCAAGGCAAGGTTCAGCGGTCATGAATCACAACGCCAGGACATCCTAGAAAAACAGAACACAATGTCCACCCGCCGCATTGAATGCATTAGCCCACAACGGGTTGAGCAACGAAGCTTGAGTGGGCCACGACCATGAGCCCATGTTCCGTACAAGCACACACATCAGTGCTTTCCTGATCACTTCATGATCACAAAAACGCTTGGGGGCTACTGTCGGGATCATGACCTCGGGGTGTCTTAGGGCACTAATTAGTTAGTGGGCTGCATTGTCTGCAACATAGCAGCTAGCAAACGCCCAAACAACCGAGGCCCAGCAAAAGCAGAGCAGAGCAGGCTAGGCGCTAAGTCCAGGGGCGATCACGATCCCTTCCTCCAACATTAGGCCGTGTGATACTCAAATACGTGACCTCTTCCCTATCATGACCCCTAGGAGAGACATGGGGAAGTCGAGCCCCACGCAACATGCCTATTCTAACGAAGGCAAGTAGCCATGCTGACCCCATAAAGATCGATGTGATAGTAGTCACCTCGGTCCGGTCAAACACCATCCATGTGCCATGTTGTACCAACGAGACAGCACCATACAATGGTGGCAACGGGTACAAAACCCACCGTCCGAATATGGGATGGGATCCATGACAAGGGTCTCGACCTAGAGACCTTCCTGACTTGCGGAGAGCTCTAAACCCAATGATAGGGGTCGTGGCCCTCAGCCTCATGAAGCGACCAGACGAACAAGGACCAAGGGAGGCTACCTACTATGGGTACAGTGCCCTAGGGAACCTGGAGACAACGATGAAGACCATGATGGATTCCACGTTGCACAGGACAGCTGACGAACTATCACCATGGCTACAGTGCTGCCATGGCCAGCATAGTAGCACCATGTCAGACTCTACCGCTACGTGGCCACAAGACCATGACGACAGCCACGCCCGGGCAAGCATTAGAAGATGGTGTACCTTGCAAGACAAGTTAGCTAGGACCTCCCTCAGGCTCTTGACCCTTTGGTCGGGGGAACCTCCTCTTTGTAACGAGCCCTGACCCCAAACTCTATATAAGGGCAGCCAAGGCTCCCATCTCTGGATATCTTCTCATTGTTCATCCTCTACCATTCCATCCATAGCAGTAGGGCTCCTAGAGCTTCTCTTCGGGCTGCCCCTCATCTAGCATAGGTTCTATCACCTCTTTCACCATTCTTGCACTCCCATTGTAAGAATTTCAGAGCATTCAAGCGAGGAACACACGCTCGATCTTCTCTGAGACTGGACATAGGGCTCTGGCCTAAACCAGTATAAATCCTTGTGTCTATTGAATGCTACCATCATCTTCCTAGAGCAGCGCGGCAATCGTATAAATTTACTAGTCTGGTTTATGAAACACCGACAATAGTAGAATTAGGTTAGCGACTATATATCCACCATATATCCTCACATGTGCACATCTTGATTTGATTGTATGAATCAACTCTCTTCGGATCTGTTGTTTGACTTTACCATATATGCATTGCAAGTATGCTCTAGATTTCTCCCTACCTATGAACTCCACATAAGCCTTAGTGGTAGGAAGAGAAAAAGGCATAACATCATTATTGCCTTGGTGAGGATCCACAAATACCACATATATTAAGAGACTTGAGAGTGTCATATAATGGAATCTCTTAGTTTTATTTTAAAAACTTATAAAAACTCTGGAACAATGGTGGAACAAAGAATTTAAGACATAGTACTTGACTTAATCGTTCTGTCCTTCAATTGTTCAAGACCCAAGTGATGGCTAAGAAGTCCCATAGTTGAAGGTAATATGAGTGAGTTTGAAAGTCAGATCAGTTTATTCTAATCCGAAGGAGAATTTTTGATTGAATGCATATGTACTTTTGAGGCGTGAAAGCATTGTAGCAACTCCTGATCCATTGTTTAAGTTTAACTTTGCTCAGGGACTGGCAAAGGGTAAGCTTGGGGGAGCTTGTTGACGGTAACTAACACCAATTATAAACCGTCAACATAACCTACATATATACTTAATTCCATCACCAAACTTAGGTCTAGGGGTTTAAACTAACAAATCCCACGAGTTTTAGTGAATATATGTTTTCAGCAGGGTTTAATCAGAAAACCATCAAGGCGGACCTATATGTCAGAATTAATTACGCTTATCCACAGCATAAACAACACTAGAAGGATCTAGAAAACCCCAAAGGACACCACACTGCGGCGGAGGGCGAGAGGCTGGCTAGCCTGTGGGACCCACGGGTCAGCCTCCCTCGCTACGTCGGTTTTCCACCGCCTTAAAGATCGCATCTATGTCGTTTATTCAAGTCGGTTTGATCCGAGGGTCCAGAATTGATGCTACCCCCTATATATACAGCCCTATACCCCCTCCAAGAGAGCCATCCTAAAACCCTAATTCATATCATCCTCATCAGGATCAGAGCTAGCTATCAAGAGAAGATTAGTCCTCCATAGGATCTAGTCTTTTAAATAGAAATAGTGAGATAGAGAGTGAGGGAAGAGTTTGGAGGAGGTGCCGGCCTATCGGTGCTCTCTCTATGGCTTGTACCTTGGCGTATCCAAGTTCTATCTAAGCTTGGCTCTGAGATTTCTCTGGTAATCAACTTTTGATTCAAGTAAGCATCGTGTTTATATTGTTCATCAGTGTCGGGCCCCTAATTTAGGGTCCTCTGTGCATCATGGATCAGTCCCTGGATCAGTAGCTGATACGCACAATTCGAACAAGATTGATATCAAAAACCATACTTTTATTGCTAATGGGAAAACATATTACATGGTTCGGGTTTACATAGCTTGGGCCATTGGTCTTATCGCATACATCAGAGTTCTAAGACAATGGTCCTATATCAACGTGGCTTCATTTCTACATGCAACTTGGAGTGTGGACGAAACCCTAGACTTATTCCTTAAGCGTATTCCTATATACCAACGTCGTATTCCTAGTGTAGCTCCTTCGTGTAGTCATATGGCTCCATCTTCGAGTATACTCTAGGTGTCCTATCCTTATGTAGTCCTCGATAGCTCCATACTCGTATGTTCTCCTATTGTCCTATCCTCGCATAGGTCCAACAGTTCTATCCTGGTATGTGCTCCTGTAGCTTCTCTCCTAAAAACATAGAATGGAGGGGGTTGAGTACATAAAGTACTCAGCAAGCCCTAAACTTTGGGTGGAGGGAGGTGGAAGGGGAAGGCTATATGTGGAGGAGGTTAAAGTGGTTGAGATGGTTAAGGTAAAAGTGGTAGGGTAAAGTAATTATAATTATAGGTTGGATCCTGGCAGAGTATTACCATTCTCACCAGTTTTTGGGTTAATTATAGTTTACCAAATTAGTAAAATACATCTTACTAGATTACCACAGTGGTAGAATTCTAATCATAGTTGCTCTCATCCCAGCATCTGCTCATTCCAAGGACGTGGCTATTCGAATAGATTCAATAAACTCTGTAGTGGTGTACAAATTTCCCCACATGATAGGCATAGTCAACACCGGGGCCAGTGGTGCGACAGGCCTAACGAGATCCCGTACCCACTTAGGTGCTACCCTAGATTTCCATATAACTCTACCGTGACTTCTCAAGGGTTGGAAAACACACTAAACTCGAGAGGATACCAAATCGTCCCATCTCATTTTCCTGGATGACACCACGTCACCCCATCATATAATCTCGGACAATACAACATCATCCCAACATAATAGTGCTGATGATACCAAATCATCAAAATAAATAATAACATGGCTCGAACACGGCCAAAACAATAATCATGGGCTCGAACGTGGCCAAAAACTCAAGGGCTTAATGTGGAAGATCACATAACAACCATGCCAACTAGACCATGGAAGATCACATAGCATCCATGTCTGCTCCTAATATTCCGCTGCCAACACCGGCCTCAATCAATAATTGAAGTTTAGCTATTGGAATGTAGGTCTTATGTTAAAGATTTTTATTATGATACCATACATGTTGTAGCTCAGTTCTGATGTTGCAGTTGTTGGTTTTGCTCAAATAATTTGCAATCTTGCAAGAAATTTATATAACTGATACCATAACTCACATTCCATCGCACCTTGAATTACTATAGAAACAGTAGCCCTTGCAAAAAGTGAGCCATATTAATGGTGCTGTGGTAATAATTTGAAAACTCCTACTTCATATGGAAATTTGTACATCAGTTCTGATTCTTGCAGTTGTGAGTTTTCCACAAGTAATTTGAATTCAACCAGGAATTTACCACAACTCATGTCCAATTTTACAACTTGAATTACTGCATAAATAATACCCCTACAAAGAAATGGAATCAGCATGTTGCTGCCATATATTTGTAGAGTTAATTGTTTGTTAAATGTTGAAGTTGATCTATTAGCTAAACCCCAAAGTTATTCTGACAGGAGGCAAGTCTTCCAGAGGTGCTCACTGTTGAAAATCTGGTTGAAGGTGCAACAAGGAGCCGAGCTAATGGTACTGCATCCCCTGATTTGCCAAAACCTGAAGCAAAGTCTCCACCGGATTCATCAAAAAAGGCAACGGACAGTTTCTCCAGTTGAGTGTGTGATGCCTGAGGAAGGTAATCAAAGAACAAGTGATCCTTCTACCAACAGGGAATCTGTTGAGTTGGTATCCCACATTGAGGAGATGAAGCTAGATACCACCACGCATATGGATGCAAGTTCTAGTGGTTATTCTGGATTTCTTGAGCCAGATGATGTTTCCATTGAATGTATTGAAATCTCAGTTGCTCCATTACACCAATTTGGCCGAAGGTCATCTATCCAGCACAGAGATTGCCCACTACAGCTTTGTTGTGCAGGCTTGAAAGTACAGTTTGGTGTCAGTACAAAGTTTCTTGATAACGCAGGGCGGCCAAAGATGAGCATAGTGGTTGAGATCCCTGAGAGTCTCAGTAAAGTTTTGGAATTCTGCGATGATCTTGCTAGGAAGTTATCCCAGGAATCTGGTAGCAGTTCTGAATGGAGACCCCTGATTAAGAAGTATGGATACGTTAATCGTCCGACTGTCCGCCTTAAGTGAGTTCTACTCTTTTCTTTGAATAATATTCTTTCCTTCCATTTTCTACCTTGGTCTCGTCATGATGTTTTCCTGAGCTCTAAGGATGGCCTTTCCGTGCAGCATCCCTACTATTGCAAACAGCGATGCTACGGCCTACTCAACTGATATATGCCAGAAAGAGCCTAGTGGCAGCATCCAGGAACTTGATTTCAGCAATGTAGCCACCACAGAATTGGACTCCCTGTTTGTTAAAGGGTGCAAGGTGGACGCATTCTTCTCACCGGAGCTATACGATTACCAGCAAAATGCTGGCATTCGGCTGGTTGCAAAGAGGCTGGTTGTACACTCGAATTAGTACCTGGCTCATTTATTATAATTCTAGTGCTAGAAACTAACCCTTGCACTGATTTAGGGGCCTTTAGGCCACCTTATGCCTTTAACCAACTGTAGTTTGTAGATTATGCTGTGAATACGTGTAAGATACTAAGATCTGGCCACAAGCGGATATTGATGTTAAATTAGAATTCAAATGTTGCAAAATGTTTTAACAATCTGTGCTATTCATTTGTGAATAGAATGCCCATTTGTTACTCTTTCTTCTCACTACTATATTCTTATTTGTGCATTCCCTATACTGTACATCATGTGCACTATTCTGCTGGATTTTCATAGCTTGGTTTCTACTGGGAACATTTTCGTATCTTTGTCATCGACACATCATCATCATAAAACAAAATCGGTAATACTTATGTAATGGAGAGTAATTGGCGACATAGTAGCATTAGGGCACATCGCAAGCTTCCATGGACAAAATGTCCTTTAGATTATAATTTTAACAGGTAACTTCAGAGCGAACTCTGGAGCGCGAGATTTTCATCTGGCCTGACCAGTTGCACTTCAATCAATAAGCTGCTGCACCATGCACCTGTATATATAAAATAAAAATTAAGGCAAATCATACAAATTGCACATATATACATACACGATTTGTGTTTATTATCAATGGTACTTACAGTAATCATGCACGCGAATAATCAGTAATCATGCACGCGAATAATCGACGTAGTGTTGACAGAAAAAAAGGGTTATGTATGCTTCTTGTTGTTGTGATCGTATAAAATTACTTGTATTTGGTTCTCTCCCTCCCTCAAGCTTATTCTTAGGGTTTGGCCTCGATCTACAATTTGGTGGTGCTCTAAGGACAAGGAAGTGCCTCTACACCTTCATCTACCTCTTGGGAAGTGGGGTAATTAGCATATCTGAAATTGAAGTTCATTTTACTTTGATTTCGTAGCCTTCTATAGGTGTTGGAACTTCCAACAAGCATCGGAAGTTTTGGCCCAAACTTCGGAACCTCCGACAGTTACTAATCTGTTGTTTTCAAGTTTGCATTGAATTTGCTACACTGCATCTGCTGAGTTTGACTACGTCAACCAGGCTCGGTTAGACCCGAGTAACAGCGCCACTAGTGGCCTTGATACCGGTCCCACTTAAGGGTACAATTTCCTAACTATTCTATAATGGTTTATTCTATTCATTCCAGTACTACTTCCCACTACATATGCTAGTTTATGAGAAATAGCATGCTTATCGAATCGTGCATGTCATGATTTATATTCGGAACATAATCTATCAAATGCCTAATTTTCCAACACATAATTCATCTCAATTTTACATATGCAGCAACAAACAACACAGCATGGATCTATATATATAGCCAGGATTCATAGTCCTATGATATATAAACCCATGTATTATTTCACATACATGAGAAATAGAAACGGAAACACTGCTACATGGTCACCGACACATCATCATCATGATTAAAAAAAAAACCCAATACTTCGATATTGGAGAGTCACGGGCGACACAGTAGCATTAGGGCACATCGCAAGCTTCCATGGACAAAATGTCCTTTAAATTATAAATTTAGCAGGTACTTTAGAGCAAACTCTCAAGCGGGAGATTTATTTTGATCTGGCCTGACCAGTTGCACTTCAATAAACTGCTGCACCATGCACTTGTATATATAAAATAAAAATGAAGGCAAATCATACAAATTGCACATATAAATATACACGATACACGGTTTGTGTTTATTATCCATGGTCCTTTAGTAATCATATGTATGGTCGATTTCAAATACTCTGGGATACTGGAACAGCTGTGTAGTACATGGCATTGTGAGATGACTAGTTTGCACCTAAATTAAATTTGTAACCTACTACATGCTCATGCACATATGTAGGCTGCTACTTTCTAGTACTATTGGAGTAGCTGGTTGCTGGTAGAGGTCCATTGTAAAACAAAAATGTGTACTCAACAACTCAAATATTCTCTTTTTTTATTTTGTTCTTCTGCTTAACTATATTGGTTAAACAAAAAGTTTAGAAGCAGTTTACATGAGGTAAATGAAAAAAAATAAGGAAATAATTTATTTTTCATTATGTTTTAGCAAAGGGTTAGGGACACTTATTATAAGTGAAATATGGGTATAACACTGTGCTTTATTTAGCGAGTTGTACTTACCTATGTTGATATTTCTGGAGTGTAGAATATATCAATATCAAGCTCTTTTACGACATCAGTGATGCTGCTCTCGGTACTTCGGACATCGTTGTACTTGATATTACCATGTGCATTAGTAAATGTTCCGGTGCCACCCATAATGGACCACTGACCACCCGAGGGCCTGGGAGGGAGAGTAATCCCTAACACTTCGAGTGTGGATCCTGCAAAACTATTTCATGCATACAAGTGCCATATAACAATTATATTAATAACTGTATGAACATAAAAACGAAGATGTATATTAGGGATAGAAACACCCCAAGAAAAAAAAGATTCTGATATTTCAGGTTTCTCGACATCCATTAGCACCCCTATTTACCATCCTCTAGCACATGTTGTACACACCGTTTTGTTGAAAAAAGGACTTCAAATGGCTGGTCCATTCCTCATCGATTTATCAATTGGATGTTATTCCATCCATTCCAATATATAGGTTGTCTTGGCTTTTAAAATACATATGTATCAAGACATAACCTATATCTGGGTCCATAGGAAAGCTATATAATTAGAAAAGCTAAAATGACTTATAATTTGGGACGGATTGTTAGCGTATTTTGGAGAACCTATCATAAGCATTGCAAATCACAACATACTAGTTAGAGCTACTCCCTCCGTTGAGACATGATAATCATATTTGACCAAAGGAGAAGTTAAACACAGTGAGTTTTGATCGCTAATCTTATAACATAGAGCCAATTGCTAAAAAAATCAATATCATCTTAGAGACGCTTTGAACAAAAATCTATTGATGCAAGTTTTATGCTGTAACCTTGTAGATAACTTGACTAATTGTTGGTCAATATTTATAAAGTTTGACTTTTTCTCTGGTCAAATATGATTATCATTTCTGATGGAGGAAGCAGTATCGTAAAGGCGTGCTTCGGAACAGGATATCCCTTAGAATTTAGTTCACCTTATAAGAAGAACTATAGAGCAATCCTACATGTCTAAATTAAAATCCCCCGTCGTGGTACATGAACGACTGTCCTATATATCATGCATCAATCTCTCTATAACTGAACATTGTGGGGGCTGGTGGTAGACATCTGAATATATAAATGTCCTCCAAAAAAAAATTGCTGCAATTTGCAAACATTATATTACTGGTCTGAGCATTGCATGTAATTTAAAGAAAACATACATCTTAATTACCTGCTGTCGTCCTGAAACACTATAATCTGAGAAGTGTACCAACTAGTGGCGGTTTGACCAGCCTGGAGATGGAAGCCTTGTGCGCGTGCAACAATCGTTTCATTCGGATTGGGTCCTATGGTTAGAAACCAGTCGTGAACATACATGGTGCCAAACCCAATAGGTTGGGATGAACCTATCGCACCTACTTCGTTAGGGTTTGAGACGTTTGGCCAGGCAGGGAACTGGTGTAGGGCCTTGTTTAGATTGCAAATTTTTGCAACCTGGACACTGTAGCACGTTTCGTTTGTATTTGACAAACTTTGTCCGATCATGGACTAACTAGGCTCAAAAGATCTGTCTCGTGATTTACAACCAAACTGTGTAATTAGTTATTTTTTTACCTACATTTAATGCTCTATGCATGCGTCCAAAAATTGATGTGATGGAGAGAGAGTGAAAAAATTTGGAATTTGGATGCAATCTAAACAAGGCCTAGGTACATATGCAGGCGAATCTCGTTCTCTTGGGGACACACGCATGGATCTAGACCTGTTTTTTCAGCGGGGCTAGCAATTGCCAGGACTATTGCTGGGCAGAGGAACAGAAAAAGCAAGGTGAGAGAGGGAGTAGCCATTGTAATAATAAGGGATATGATTGGTGGCCAACTATGGCGAGGCGCTGGCCAGAGGGGTAGGGCTCGTGATCCTTCTTTGTGTGCTGTGAGATGTGAGATTAGAGGGGGCAGGAGGTGGTATTTATAGAGTACTCTTGGAGAGATGGAGTGCGTGGGAGAGGCAGCGAAATCATTTAGGCAAGAGCATATCTGATATTAGCTTGCCCCGTGACACACTCTATGTGAGTCTATGCACCATGATTAAAGCACACACAGACAACACAATACTTTGTCTGCATAGTCTGATACACTTTAAGTGTTTAGCTTGTGGAATCAATCTATTCTATATGAGCTGATGTATTATAAATCCATTTTTCAATTTTAGTGAAATGACTGCATTTCCTATACTAATACGAATTATTAACTTGTGAGGAATAATAAAGTGGTGATGAATCAATTCCATTCCACAAACCAAACAAAAATTTGAGAAATGAAATAATGAATTCTTTTTGTCTGCAGATTTCACACAGATAACCGATTCATAATTGTATTGTTTAATAACACTTGAACCTACCGATAGCACCTAACCCAATGCAACCCCAATTTTTTAGATGTTTTGTTCAGCCGTACATTTGGCACTATGTTAGAAGGGATGTGAGGAGTGCGCGACTAAATTTCCTTAAATAAAATGAGAAATATATAGGAGAATATTTAGACATGAAAGCTAATAATAATAATAATAACACGTGTCCTCGCCACACTTTTATACGATCATTTAATTTTTTTTGAAACTTGCTATTTTCATATTGCATCCATATATGTACTCGTATAAAAGCTAAGATGAAAACTCAAACTAGAAAAATTCATATGAAAATAAAAAATTTCATATACATCCGCACTAGAAGACAAAAACCTAGGAATTTTATTTTGTGTAGTGCACATGCACCTAAAATTATCATTTTCATATAAACTTTTCTAGTTTGAGTTTGTATCTACCTTTTGCATATGAGTACATATATGAATGTAATGTGGGTTAT